GCCATGGTTTCCCACGTACACTTAGCTAGAGTAACATTACATTAAAACAGAGGAAGACCCACCGTGTTGGTTGGTTGAGCAATATTTTGCTGTCCTAAACGTAAATTCCCTTTTTTGTCTTTACAGTCCAAGTACACTTGAATTAGTGCCAAATATTATCTGGAACTCTAAAATCACAGTTGTTGTGCCCTATGCTCAACTCAAAACTGGACACTAGTCTCCCAGCAAGCAATTTTGCGTCTAAAAGACGTCTAATAGCCGTCAAAACACAGCCCAGACGTCTAGGCTAAAACAAGGCTAAATTTGGGCTGTCAGTGAAAATCTGATAGACGTCTATCCATAGCCCAAGGATAGACAAGTCATTAAATAGACGGCTATTGAACGACTACATATATATGCCTAATAGACGTCTAACCATAGCCCAAAAATAGACTAGTCATCAAATAGACGGCTATTAAACGACTACATATACACGTCTAATAGACAGTACATATGGGTCTAGGCTAAAACAAGGCTAAATTTGGGCTGTCAGTGAAAATCTAATAGACGTCTATCCATAGCCCAAGGATAGACAAGTCATTAAATAGACGGCTATTGAACGACTACATATATATGCCTAATAGACGTCTAACCATAGCCCAAAAATAGACTAGTCATCAAATAGACGGCTATTAAACGACTACATATACACGTCTAATAGACAGTACATATGGGTCTAGGCTAAAACAAGGCTAAATTTGGGCTGTCAGTGAAAATCTAATAGACGTCTAAACATCACCCAAGAATAGACTAGTCATCAATTACACAGCTATTGAAGAACCATATGTAATAGCCAATAAAATGTGGCTAAAGGATCCTTTTACTTAAAAAATAGCAGATTCTCATAAATGACAATTCATCCCAAACAAATCAAATATAAAAGTTTTATTTACAAAAATAACATGAACAACTTAGACAATTTACAAAAAGATCCAAACATAAAAATGAGCAATTAAAATATTACAAACAATAATAATAAAAAACCCTTAAGGTATTAACATAAAAAAAAATTACCAAATAAAAAATAAAATAACCTGTTAATTTATAAAACAGTAATCAATTGTTGCCCTTAATCCCATAACCCCCCCCCCCCCCCCCCCCGCTCTTCCTGGTGCTTGTTTAAAATGTGTTGAAATGGCATTTCTAATTTCATATTCAGTGGCCGTTTGAAAATTGGTCATCACAACATCTGCCAAAGGAGAGAAATCAAATAATAATTGCACAAGAAGAAAAAATATATCTAAATATATATTTTTTAGCCTAAAACCTAAGATAAACTCTCTAGTCAACGTGTACCCTCGCGCACACAGACAGACATACCTTTAATGACTGAGAACAGTGCATAGTTTTGAAAAGCCTCCTTCTGCAGAGGACCACCGCCCTTAATGTTAAATTTCGCCATGAGGGAATTTGTGAAAACACTAAAATAAAATAAAAATGAGGTTGATTAACAATTGCGGTTAAAGAATGACATTTAAGAATGAACGTTAAAGGAAGTCTTTTTTAAGTTTCAGATTTGCTTATTAAATACTTATTCAGTATTGGAAGCAGAATATTTTATAATTGTTGCACATTTTGTTGGCTTTACCTTTCTAACATTCTTCTTGCACTGTCTTTGAGGTTTTTTCCTCCGATTTTGCCCAACTTCGCCACCTGAAAAAACAAATGCCAATGTCAGTACAGGTAGTATTACAGTATATGCATAAGTTTACAAGTATTCACCAACCTTAAAGATTGATGCCCATTGACCTGCAAGTTTTACATCACAAACCCTATAAAACTCTATTTCAGCAGATTAAATTAATTAATTTAATACTACCAGTTATTTAGTTTAATTGTTCATTATAATTTTTTTTAAATATATTTATTGAAATTTTAAATCTTTTTTTTTTTACGTTTTATAAAAATAAAATCAATTTGAAATGTTTCAAACTCAATCAAAATCTACTTAATGTAGAATGAAAAAGATATTGTTTTTTTTGGCTCATAGTCTCTTATTATGCAAAAAGCCATTGTTCAGTCATAGATTAGGCAAGACATTAACTAACAAGACATTCGATATTAATCACTGACAAATGTTCTGTTCTGTATATTTATTATTATGCCAAATAATTTACAATAAACATAGTGTCTTTAAATCCAATAAAGTGGATCACATCACGACAGTTCAGAGGTTACACTGGCGACTGTTTGTGAAAGAAATGATTTCAAAATACCACTGCTGGTTTTAAAAGCATTGAATGTTTTAAGGCTGAAATAAATTTAACATTTTCTGATGCATTATGAAACATCCAGAACAGACCTCTCAGGTCATCTGGGCCAGCTACTTTTCTGTCTCCAGAGTCAAAACTAAACTTGAAGCAACATTCAGTTTTTATGCACCACATATCTGGAACAAATTCACATAATACTGCAGGCATGCTGAATCTCTTAATTCTTTTAAATCAAGATTAAAAGCACTTTGAAAAATTAACTTAAATCAAAAACTCATATTTCATATAAGTTATTTATCTAAAAACTAAAATATATTTGTAGCCTATCTTTTGTAATAATAATACAACGTTTCATAGTTCCATTCCCACATAAATTATAAAAATAAATTATAAGGGCACACAGTTGCAGTCACTTTACACGTGTAAATTAGGTAACTTGTTGGACAGGAAAAAATAATCTCCTATGTTAACGCTAAAATGTCACGGTACCGACACATTATGACTAATAATGTAGCAGATTTAAAAAATGAACAATTAAAAACGTACACACATACTTACAAGTTTGAAGTAGAAAGGTTTTCTGCTCGCACTTATTTGCTCTCCGACTGCTGTCTCGTGGAAAATAGATTTGAAAATGGCGGAAATCCTTACCGCGAGATCTTGTCGTGCGTCAGTCTATGGTCACCAGTAGCAAGTAGCCTATTCCATGTTGTAGTCATATCTCGGTAGGGCTTCGCTTGTGCCATCTAGCGGTTAGGAATCTAAATTGAATTTTTATAGAACTTAAAATAAAAGATAATACAATATTATCGTCGAATGTCTATATAACTTTGAATGTTATGTGACAGCGAAGATAATGCTAATTAAAATGTTTACAAAAGTGTTTTGGCTAAAAGTAGACTAGATATAGCCCGTCCAATTCAGAGCTAAATCTTGGCTAAAAGACCATGTCATGAATGGCATCTTGTTGCAAACATGATGGGATTGGATAACAGCCATCTTATGCACTACCTGGCCTTAAACTTTTTTTTTATTTTTTTTACTTTGGACTCAAAGTGGCCTAAAAATAGTCGGTCTGACAAGGAGCTAAATCGTGAATATGCATAGACTATGAATAACGTGAAAGAAATTAAACCAAACAACTTGTAATCACTGTTGCATTTGCTCCCATGATGTAATATCATACATTTCGTAATTTATTGTGGCCAAAACGACATGTATACAAATTCAAGGTTATTTTGACTAGTGGGTTACGGACTATATCGGGTAAAACAGAAACGGTGAAATGACGACTATTACTTGCTTGGAAATAGCCCGTCTACTAGAGAGCTTGATCGCGTCTACGCACAGACTACACATATAACGTGGCAAATAAATGAAGCCAAACACTTTGTAATCTCAGTTGACTTTGATAGCATGATGTAATATCTACCATCTCGCTAATTATTTTAGAAAAAATGACATATAACCAGATTTATAGTTATTTAGGCTAGAAGTGGGCTACATATAGCCGGACTATATTGGGTCTATATTTAACCGGGACGTTGAAATGACGGCTATTGCTTGCTGGGTGTTACTACCTTAATCTATTTGGGAAAATAATTAGTAAATCAGAATAAAATCAAATGTAACAATTTATTATGTCAGGTAAATGTATCATGCCAATTTTATAATCAATTCAAAGATAATCAATACAAAACATTAAATGCTCAGAGATACAGAGTAAAAAAAAAGACGTCTGAGGACATTCAGAATAGTCTGAATGGCTGATCTGGCTACCAAATCGCGCTGAGCCTCTTGAGATTTATTTTTATACTCAAGCCAAGACAGAAACCTAAACATGTGCTAACAATGGGAATTTGAATTAATCATGGTCTCCAGAGTTTACACCTTTTGAGGACATTTTCATGAAAGACCCAGCCTCCTCTATAAGCAAGATATCTCTAAACTCTAAAAAACATTATTACGTTTTTTTTTTTTTTTACTTCTGTGGAGACAAAACCATTGTACCAGTCACACTGAGACAATTCAAATGGTACCAAACATGTATAGTGTTGTATGATAATTGTTCACATTAAACCATATAGATTTTGGGGTTAATTTCAGGTGATCTCAGCATGAGAGAGAGAAGGGATGGGGGAAGAAGGGTCAAAGGATGCTAGTTTCACAAGAAAGAGTTCAAATGTTAATTTCCAGAAGCCTCCTTTGTCTTCTCTGTGAGTAGTCGTTCCTCAACCAGATGGCCCGGCATTGTCTAATTTCTATTGTCTTACAGTATATACAGAATATTGAAACTGCTGTGCACATCTGCCTCTTCTGTTTTTACTACCATTATCTCTGTCGTGTTTTTGCTGTTGTTCATTGTATTCATTACTGTTATTAAAACATCATCTTTATCAAACCTCCTCTTTGGTTTTCCTGTTATTCCTGACAAAAATACTATTAGCAATAAAATAATTATAATTTCTTGCTAAAATATTTACCTTTTTAATTTCAGTTTTGTCTTGGGGTCAGTAACTAAGAACAAACACAGCACACACACAATTGAAATCAAATGGATTCATTCATAAATAAATAAACAACATTTCACTGCTGTTAACCAACACAAATGTCTAATGTGTCCAATATACATGTTAAGAGTCTTGCAGACTGAATTTATTTTCTGCTTGTACACTTTTATTTTCCACATAATGGATCTAAAAATATTTATGAAATACATAAATGTAATTTTTCATATAGGTAATTTAATTCACAATGATTGAAGAACACATAGAAAATCATTGCAGTCATTTTGAAACGTTCCCTCTAATTGGTGCAGATCTGTTGTTAAGCATTTTTCGGATTAAGTCTTTGATTTTAGCTGTGTTTAAAACATAAATGATGGGATTGAGCATTGGTGGAAGAGCAATTGAAAGAGATCCGCTGATGATCCTGGCATTAGTAGTAGTTGAAGCCAGCAAAATGCATATTATGGGAAGAAAGAATGATCCAACTACCAAAAGGTGAGAAACACAGGTCTTCAGTGCTTTTAAACGTCCTTCCCAAGTTGTAATTTTACATAAAGCAAGAAAAATGCCCACATATGACAGGATTATAATGAAAGGTGGTGCTATAATGAATAAAGCTTGAATGAGGATTGCTAATAACCTATTAATGCTATTGTCATTGCATGGCAGCCTCATCAATGTTCCATAGTCACAATACCAACTCTCTACCACGTTGGAATTACAGAATGAAAGTCTGGTCATCAAAGATGTCGACAGTGTTACCATACAGGTGTTAAATGCCCATAATACTGAAAACACTATAGACATTAACTTATTATTCACTATGGCATGATATCTTAGTGGAAAACAAATTGCAATGAAACGATCAAATGCCAGAATAACAAGAGTGTAAGTCTGCACAGTATAAAAGAAATTCACAAAAAACATGTTTGCCAAACAAGCATTGTATGAGATGTACTGTGAGTCCCATAAAAAAGTCTTCATCATGTTAGGAATCAGTGCATTAGTTTCACCAATATCAGCCAAGGCCAAGTTAAACACACCGATGTACATTGGACTGTGCAGGCTCCGTTCAAGAGCTATAATGAGAAGGACTATCGAGTTCCCAATTATAGTAATAAAATATACAATAAATAAGAATATATAGTAATAAGTGTTGTACGGTGTACCTATAAGCCCAGTGATGAAAAAGTATTCAGGATGAACAATCGAGATATTCTGGGATAAACTCATGGCAGCTTTGCATTTGTTGTTTTGCATAGGCTAAAAATAGAAATTACTATAAAGAAATAAACCAAATATTGACTTTACTAAATTGTCATCTTACACTTTTAACATCTTTTTTCAAATGTTGAAAATATACCTTTATGCAAACTTGCTGCATAATATTTGAATCACAGACTTGACTAAATAATCTAAAGAGCCAGAGGAATCAATGACAGTGTCTGAATTTTTACAAGCTGCTCTGAAATAAATAGTCTGTTTTAAATGCCCATCCTTATTCTCTCATGTCGCAAACATCATTGGACATATGCGTCATTGAATCCAAATATATCTACTGATTCATCTCTTGAGAGCTTTCAGACAACACAATGATGTAACACTTGTATATTAAAGTAAATGTCCTGGCCACTGCTTTAGTTTCGATAAACATTTTCTTCACTTGCTACACAATTCCCCTTTGTGAAGTTCTCATTAGTGCACATTATATTACTGTAACGCAAGTATATATTTAATTCTACATAACAGCAACTGCAGTACAACTTATGTCCATGTGTTGGCCTTAACAGTGAGTAGTGGAAATGGTTGAGATCTTCTCAGGGAGGTCTATTCAAATATACCTCTATAATATATAACGACTGTAATATATAACCACCTGCATAATGTGCAATACTTACTTACATTTCTTGTCTGCTCTAAATAAGTTCCCTTTCGTTGTCACTCCGAGTTCCGTCGGATGACGACGAATGGGGGTTTCGCTTAGAAGCCAATCAACTTCAAATACTTCAAAACGAGCCAATGGCAAAGAAATGCCATGGGTCTGCGGAATTTGCATAGCGTAACTCCGCCTCACCTCGTGAGTATATAAGGAGAACGCTGGCAGCAAACCGGCATGTTTTCGCTTTGGAGCCAAGTTAATCCTTCGTTCCACAAGCCATTCCTGAAATTGTCAGTTCTTCAAACGAGCAAGATTCTCTGGTGTTGGTGTGACGGCGATCTTCGGCGAGCGCGCACTTCCTGCTTATCTGTCTGTGGTTCGACAGCGAGTGTGTTCTCCCCGAGCGCTTCAACACAATCAGGTTTCTTTTTCTCACAAAAGAGCTTGCACGTGGCACGTCTTTTTAAAGATGCCTCGCCCGTGCACTTCTGGTTGCGGTAGGCTGGTTGACGACTCTGATGGGCACGGGTGCTGCATAGTGTGTTTGGGCATTGATCACGCTAGAGCAGCACTCGTGGATGACTCATGTTCTCTCTGTGGGAACATGACCATCGCAGCATTACGGTCAAGACTCGGTGATCTCGCAAGAGTGAGGGTCCCCTCATCCACACCCCGATCTACTGACTCTAGAAATAGAGCTAGTACTTCGGCTGGTGGCCAGGGTGATCTGAGGGTGACGGTTTGGAACCAAGCGCCGACTATCAGTCCGTGCCCAGCCGCACCCTCTCCAATGCTGCAACCCGTGAGTGTTCAGGGGATTCCGGCGAGATCATCTTCGGGTGTCCCGCGGGTTTCCTTTGGCGCTCCAGAGGAAGATGCCATGTCTATTGCAGCATCACAAGGTGGGTCTGAGTCTGCTGGAAGTGAAGACTCATCACAGCTGCCGCCTTCGGGTGTGACTACAGTTGTGCCAGAGTCAGATCCAGAGATGACGGCCATGCTGTCTCGAGCCGCCGCGAGCATCGGGTTAGAGTGGAACCCTCCGCCCTGCCCCGAGCGCTCGCGGCTGGATGATTGGTATTTGGGTCAGGCTGCGGATCCCCGTCCCCGTCAGGCCCCGATACCTTTCTTCCCGGACGTGCATGATGAAATCTCGAAGTCCTGGAAGACTCCCATGTCTTCCCGCGACCGCTCGATGATTTCATCCGCCTTTCCTCCCCTCGATGAGGCCGCTGCCCGTGGGTACACTGGGCTTCCCCCGGTCGAACGCTCTGTTGCGATGCAACTGTGTCCTCAGAGCGCTTCGTCTCGTGGTGAGCCAAAGCACCCATCCAAAGCCTGTAGGTACTCGTCTACGTTAGTGGCGAAGTCCTACAGAGCTGCGGGACAGGCAGCCACCTCTTTGCATGCCATGGCCATTCTGCAGGTCTACCAGGCCCAGATGCTCAGGGACATGCACGAGGGTAGGACAGACCCAGGGCTCTTCAATGAGCTGCGCGCCGCCACCGACCTTGCTCTCCGAGCGACGAAGGTGACCGCACGCTCCCTGGGTTTGGTGATGTCCACAGCCGTGGTCCAGGAGAGACATCTATGGCTCAATCTTGCCGATATGAAGGATGCCGAGCGGTCCCGGCTGCTCGACACCCCCATATCGCAAGATGGCCTTTTCGGCGGTGCAGTCGAGGACTTTGCCCAACAGTTCTCGACTGCTCAGAAACAGACTGAGGCGATCAAGCACATTCTGCCCCGACGGCCCGCTGCTGCCTCCACCCAGCCGACCGGGCAGAATACTCAGTCTGTTCGCCGCCGAGGGCGCCCTCCTGCGACTCCCGCCCCTCCCGCCCGGCCCAAGCAGCAGCCTCCACCCGGGCCCGGTCGCGGAGGAAGTCGCAAGAAGGCGCCCCAGCCCTCTCCAGCCCCGCCCCCCGCTAAACGCCGGGCCAAGCGGCGCTCCTGAGACGGGCTGCTCAGGGATGACGTGTTTTTCTCAGGAGATGGTTGCAGGACCACTCCTTCCCCCGGTGGAGGGCCGGGGGAGAATCTTTTGTTCTCCACTCCCCGCTGCTCACCCACGGGTGGGCAGTACCCTAATGTGGTTAAAGAAAGAAATAACACGTTCATCCCTGAGCACACAGAGTTCTTGGACGACACGGTGCGCCGCCCCCGGGCCGTGCACCCCTCGTCCTCCTCTGTCCCAGAGCCGGATGACAGTGCGCGCCGTCCCCGGACCGTGCCGCTCTCATCCTCCTCTGTCGCCAGACCCCTGGCAGAGCAGACCCCCGTGGAACGTTCGTCCTTCCCTGGTCTGCTCTGTCAGGACGCGGTCTATGACTGTACCCCCACACCGGGCCGCTATGCCGTCCACGTCTGGGTCAGTCATACCGCCTCGCTGCCCCACCGACGGGAAGTCTGTGGTTCGCATGACCCCGCTGGTTCAGTCCTTGGGAGCTTGGCTAGAGCTTCCCAACCTGTCCCGCTGGGTCGCACGAACGATCAGGCTCGGCTACGCGATTCAGTTCGCGCGGTCTCCTCCCCGCTTCAGGGGAGTCCGCTCCACTATGGTCGGTGGCAATGCCCCTATCATGAGAGCGGAGGTTGCTACCCTGCTGGCGAAGGGTGCGATCGAGACTGTCCCTCCAGCCGAAATGAGGTCCGGGTTTTACAGCCCCTACTTCATTGTCCCGAAGAAAATCGGTGGGTTACGGCCAATCCTGGACCTGCGCGTATTGAACCGCTCCCTTCACAGGCTGCCGTTCAAGATGCTCACCGCCAAACGCGTTTTCGAATGTGTGCGGCACCAGGATTGGTTTGCAGCGATCGACCTGAAGGACGCCTACTTTCATGTCTCCATTCTCCCTCGACACAGACCGTTCCTACGGTTTGCTTTCGAGGGACAGGCATATCAGTACGCAGTTCTCCCATTCGGGCTAGCCCTGTCTCCTCGCGTCTTCACGAAGGTCGTCGAGGCAGCCCTTGTTCCCCTCCGGGAACACGGGGTTCGCATTCTGAACTATCTCGACGACTGGCTGATTCTAGCTCACTCTCGAGATCAGCTTTGCGAACACAGGGATTTGGTACTCCGCCATGTAGCCCGTTTGGGCCTTCGGGTCAACTGGGAGAAGAGCAAACTTTGCCCCGCGCAGAGGATCTCTTTTCTCGGTATGGAGATCGACTCGGTCGCCATGTCCGCGCAGCTTACGAGCGAGCGCGCGCAGTCACTGCTGACTTGCCTGAGACAGTTCGAGGGCAAGAGTGCGGTTCCACTGAAACTTTTTCAGAGGCTCCTGGGGCATATGGCATCTGCAGCCGCGGCAACGCCGCTCGGATTGCTTCATATGAGACCGCTTCAGCTTTGGCTTCGCGACCGAGTCCCGAGGTGGGCATGGCAACACGGCACCCTCCGAGTACCAGTTACTCCGACCTGCCGTCAGACCTTCACCCCGTGGGGGAACCTCAGCTTTCTACGGGCAGGAGTGCCTCTGGAACGAGCTTCCCGGCATGTTGTTGTAACGACAGATGCCTCCACCACGGGCTGGGGTGCCATGTGCAATGGACGTGCTGCCGCGGGCTCCTGGACAGGACCCCACCGCTTATGGCACATCAATTGCCTCGAGTTGCTGGCTGTACAGCTCGCCCTGCGCCGCTTCCGAGCCGTGCTCTCGGGCCAGCATGTACTAGTCCGATCAGACAATACCGCGACCGTAGCGTACATCAACCGCCAAGGTGGTCTGCGCTCCCGCCGTATGTCACAACTCGCCCGCCACCTCCTCTTATGGAGTCAGAAGCATCTGAGGTCGCTTCGAGCCATTTTCATCCCTGGAGCCCTGAACTGTGCAGCCGACGAGCTGTCACGGCTTCAGCCCCTCCCCGGAGATTGGCGACTCCATCCCCAGACGGTTCAGCTGATTTGGGACCAGTTCGGGGACGCACAGATGGATCTGTTTGCCTCTCACGACTCGACCCATTGCGCCCAGTATTATTCCCTGACCGAGGGCACGCTCGGCACGGATGCTCTGGCACACAGCTGGCCGCGGGGCCGCAAATATGCGTTTCCCCCAGTGAGCCTTCTTGCGCAACTCCTGCGCAAGGTCAGGGAGGACGAGGAGCAGGTCACTCTGGTCGCGCCGTACTGGCCCACCCGGACCTGGTTCTCCGAACTTGTACTCCTCGCGACAGCACCTCCTTGGCCCATACCTCTGAGGAAGGACCTACTTTCTCAGGGACGGGGCACCCTATGGCACCCTCGTCCCGATCTTTGGAACCTCCACGTATGGCTCCTGGACGGGACGAGGCAGGTTTGAGTACCCTGCCACCAGCGGTGGCGGCTACCATCACTTCCGCTAGAGCGTCGTCCACGAGACACCTCTATGCGTTGAAGTGGAACCTCTTCGTCAACTGGTGCTCTTCTCACCGAGAAGACCCCCGGAGATGTTCGATCAACGTCGTGCTTTCCTTCCTTCAAGAGGGGTTGGAGCGAAGGCTGTCTCCCTCCACCCTCAAGGTCTATGTCGCCGCTATTGCCGCACAGCATGATCTTATAGAA